AGATGGTGACAGCAGGCACGAAATTAAAAGATGCCTGCTTCTTGGGAGGAAAGTGATGACAAACCTCAACAGCATCTTAAAAAGCAGAGACATCACCTGGTTGTCCAGATTCCCTGGAAAAGACCCTGAAGTTGGGAAAGTGTGAAGGCAAGAGGAAAAGGGAATGATAGAAGATGAGATGTTTGGACAGTGTCATTGAAGCTACAAACATGAATTTAACCAAACTCCGGGAGGCAGTGGATGACAGGAGGGCCTGGTGCATCTGGTCCATGGGGTCAGGAAGAGTCAGACACTACTTAAGGACTAAACAACAACAGCAAACCTTAGTTTACAGGATTGAATTGGGAAAATACTAAGTGTGGTATTATGTAATCCCTTTTAAATGTAAATAGTGTTTGCAAGAGATTAGCATGGGACATCTTCTGCCTTTGTAAAAGCCTATTACAGTATAATTGTAATCTCAGGGCCCATTCATATGATGGTTTCTGAGGCAGTTAATAGCATATGGTGGGAATTTACCACCAGTTATTTATGTGGGGAGCCGTTCTTCAGAAATGGACTACATGTGAATATCATCTTGCATATTTCAGAATGTAAGGAGGAGGCTCCCAATGTGGTAAATGTGGTTATTTTCCAGAGAGGGGGGAGATTACTGTCTGCATGTGTCAAAAAGTTGATGAAATGATCCACTGAGGAATTCCACCTTCACAGAAGTAAGCCTATAAGAAGCCACCGGATAATAAGGAAGCAGAATTTGGAAGCACCAATTTTTAAAACATAAACGGCATCTACCATAAACATATTTCCCCTCCCATCTGCTTGTGTTACTTTATTTCCATGCAATAAGTGCTTCAGCTAAAACACAAAAGATGAATTTCTGGGGAAAATGACGTAGAACAACATTTCTACAAAGGATTTGGTGAATGATTTCCTGGACTAGTAAATGTACCAGCAATAAAGTAGGTTGAGTTCTTTACAAGCTGTTTATCTTCTGAGGTTGAGGGTACTGTATGTCATTCCATAAGGTGGTTCTTTTGTTCCACAGCAGATCCTTCTCTTTCTCTTAGTGTATGGGACTGAAGGTGGGGTGTCCCTGTTTTAAGGGCTGCAGTTTAGGAGGTTAACCTTTGTAACTCAAAGGCTGTAATTAGGCAGTGGGGAGACATGCTGAACTTCTGAACAAACATGACAAAGCCCATGACAGACAAATAGGTATACTAGAAGGTGAGAAGACTCACAAAACGCACTTTACTCCTAGAGTAAGAATATACATCACAGCATGCACATCTTTTTCCATCAGAAGTCTTAGAAATAAGGCGATCTCCAAAATCTGTGCAATTAAAACAAAAAGCCCCAAGCTTAGCCATAATCAGCTCTCCACCAGAGGTGTTAAGAGCCTGATAAAACCACCCTCCATTCCAGCACTTTAACCATTTAAACCTCTACAGGAGCCTCCAGCCCTGTTGTAAAGATCCATTTCCATTCAAGGATTTGGGAGGGACGGTCCATAAATTAAGAAGCGCCCTTTGCATTTCAGACACCCAAACTGTAAGGAACAATAGAGAATCCCAATCGAACATTACCGTGAAGAGGCAACCCAGGCATCGCCTTCGCCCGCCTCCCCCCCCCCGGCATTCATTCTGAGATGAAAGAAAGCAAGACTGTGGGAAGAACGGATGCTTTCGAAACGCCCATTGATGGCAATCCAGCCGGACAGCAGAATAACAGACCCTTCTCGAACGATCACGGGATCCATCTGTAATGAATGGACGGCTCGTGGAGCAAATGGAGGGATGGGGGTGTGTGCCCCCAAAAGGTTGTGGGGGGCCCGCTTCTGCCGCCATGGGCACGAGCTAGGGAAGAAAAAAAAGGGGGGGAGGAATTGGAAGCGGAATAAGGAGGGGATGACTCAGCTCTGACTGACCTCGGTAAATAACGTACTCACCTGAAAATATCATTTGGACTTGTCGGCAGACATGCTCACCTCATCTGGCGGGCGGCAGCGGGGGCGGGGGGGTTCATAGCTTAACGTGTTCAAGGAGCTCGCTCGCCCGGCGACTCCCGCGCAGGAGAGTTTGCTCGCTAATAGCGCGGGGCTCTCTTTGGAGCGAGCAGGCAGGCAGGCAGGCAGGCAAGCCGACGTTTATAACAGGCGGCGACTACTACGCAGGCGTGCCTTGCCTGCGTCCCCGCTTCTTTGTGCAAGGCAGCTTTCGCAGAGCGGGCTTAGCAAGCGAGCTCTTGAGCCCTTCTTTCTGGCTCCCCCGCGGAGCTGCTTTGCATTCCAGCCCCCCCCTCCGGTTTTTGTTTTCCCCTCCCCGCCCGAACCACGCTTGGGGCCGAGGCAGCCTCCTTCCTCCTCAGCGGCTCTGTTCAGAGGCGCGATCCCTGGCTGGCAAAGAAAGCCTCAGCTTCTCCACGCTGGCCCTTCATTTTTAAAAAATTTCCCAAACAGATTGCTGACAGTTTGGCTTCACAGGGAGCTGGGCTTTCTAAACGAAAAGTATCTTTCTGTATCAGTCTTCTAGAACTGTGAAGGGAAAGGGAAACGGCACCGTTTCTTTGCCTCTCATTCAGGGGAATTTTCATTCCTGAAAGTGCTCCCACATCTCACAACACTTTCCTCTTGGGAAAATGTTCCAACACCGCATTCTGACGGCTGCACAAAATATTTCAGTATCGCAGAGCACTGCTGAAAAATGTGTGGACCACCAGGCTCTGTCAGACTACTGATCTCATAATTCCCGCCATTAGCTACACTGGTTAGGCCTGCTATGGGCTGCCCTCTTAACTTCTAGAGGCCCATACTTTCCCCAGCTTGTCTTATTTATTTATTTATTTATTTGATTTATATCCCACTCATCTGGTAAATCTATACCACTCTGAGTGGCTAGAGTAGGAGGTGAGGATTTATTTTAGCCTTTTAGATGTTGTTCAACTCAAAGTCCCATTACAGTATCCCTTACTACTGGCCAGCCTGCTGCTGGTGGAAACTGGTGCCCAACGCCCAATAACATCTGGAACACTGGATGGATGGGTTGCCCAGCTTTGTCTCAAAGAACCTTACTCCCACTGGTGATGTGGTTCTTAGAAAAGAGTAATAATAATTGCAGCAGAACAACTGTTTCCTTCTGAGACAGTTATTTGGTTAATTATCTGGATGAAATGAAAGCCTCGATCATTTTTCATTAGCCTTGATGACGTAAGAACGGCCTTACTGACAAAACTTGCTAAAGTTTCTAGGAGCTGTAGTCAAAAATATCTAGAGATACAAACGTTTCCCTCCTCTGTGTCTGAATTAAGATTAGAGAGTCAGGATCAAACTATAACTCTGCTTCAGCCTTGAAACTCACTCAATACCAATTAGTAAATCCAGCAGACTTTCCTTATAGAGCTGTTGTAAGTGGAACATGGGGAGAACTACGCTGTCTTGAGCTCCTTAAAAGAGAAGTAGGATAAAATTAAGTTGATAATTAGATGCTGACAGCATAATCAGAGAAGGAGCTTCAGATAAGCAATGTCCACTGTAGCTTTGCAGTGCAATCATATGCATGTATATTTAGACAGAGAAATAAGTCTCACAGAATTCAGTGAAGCTCATTCTCACACAAGTGTATAGGATAGCACCTCTTCCCATTTAATTAGAAATAAGGTCAATGAACTTAAAAGGACTTACTATTGTATTTACTACATATAGGCATACATATAGGGCTACATATTTACTATACATAAAGGACTATGCTGCTAATTTATTTAAAGGGCATAATCCAAGGCAAGGTTAGCTGCACTCTACCCTATTAATTTCTTAAATCTCTAAAAGATTATTCCTAATATTTAATGGTGTAGGCAATCTATTGTGGTAGCAACCAAGTAGTATGCTTTTTCTTCTAATCTGATAAAATTAAAGCAGGATACACAGCATTTCCTCCAAACTGGCTATAGCACTGGGAGGGAGATGGAGACAAACTGAGGGCTGGTGACTTGTCAAAACAATGGACTTCAAATATGGCATGAGAGAGAAAGTGGGAGATTTCCTTCTGAGACAGTTATTTGGCTAATTATCTGGATGAAACCAAAGCTTCAGTCATTTTTCATTAGCCTTAATAACATAAGGACAGTATTCTCCTCCCACCTCATTATAAAATTAAACTGTCTGGATTGGTGGGGTGAAGGAAAGAGGATAGTATACAATATTTCCTCTTTGAATGCAAGTTCCAGGGACAGAGTTCATGTCCTTCCATGCACTGAAAATTTTGCTCTGAGGTCAACACATGGCAGACACAGGTAGGCTGTTAAACTGCTTCACTTTTATTAGAAACACAGAGCAGCTGAGCTATCTTGGAGCACTGTAGGGCAGCTCATATAACCTTCCAGCCACTCCAATATACACTATCAAAGACAGAACTAGGCAGAGTCACTCCCAGTGGGATTAAAACACATCAAGCCAGAAACAGAGGGATATCTAAACTGCTCCATTCTGTACACCCAAAAATCCAATGGAAGTCTTCTGGACATGTCAGGGTGTCTAGGCTCTCGGTTGCATAACTAGTCTCTGTACATGATTGTACAGAGGAAAGCCTGGTATGCAACAAACAGCCTGGAAAACAGTTCACATCACTTGTGTGGTTGTCATTATACAATCACGTAAGCCAATAATTCTAGCCATGGGGAGATCCAGGCTTATTAACAGTTCGTCGTCCTTTAGTCGTGTCCGACTCTTCGTGACCCCACGGACTAGAGCACGCCAGGCCCTCCTATCTTCCACTGCCTCCCGTAGTTCTGTCAATTTCATGTTAGTTGCTTCGCAGACTCTGTCCAGCCATCTCATCCTCTGTCGTCCCCTTCTCCTCTTGCCATCACACTTTCCTAACATCAAGGTCTTTTCCAAGGAGTCTTCTCTTCTCATGAGATGGCCAAAGTACTGGAGCTTCAGCTTCAGGATTAACAGTTAGAACCATTTAAATCAGTGGGAGTTCTATTAGTCACAACTAATTTAGGTTTCACTATTTTCAATGGAGCTACTCAAAAGTATGATTGAGTCTGGATGCAGCATATGCCGTATAGGGAAATGAAATGAAGAATATGATCCCTCAAGGATCATGTCTTCATTGTAATTTTCCACCCATGTATAGCAGCAGCAACAACAACAATAGCAAAGCCTTCCTCAAATTGGTGGTCTCTGAATAATTTGGGACTACAGCTGCTGGCATTCCTTACCCTTCGCCATGCTAGTTGGGAGACAAGAAGTGAAGCCCGAAGTATCTGGATGTCACCAAGTTAGAGGAGGATGGTTACTTGGTAAGTGTCATAAGGGTGCCACCCAGCTGGAGCAACAAGTGGTAAGAAATAGTAGGAAATACCAAAAGTTCATTGCTGGCTTACTAGATGATATAAAAGAAGCTTCTACCTTTCAACCTTAGGGGGCTTTCCTATCCATTATGGAGGCAACAGCTTAAGCCACAGCATTGTTGTTGATGCTGTCTCTTTATTAGTAATATTTATATCCTGCTTTTCCTCAACTGAACTCAACATGGCATACATATCTCTCTTCCTCCCCAGTTGTGTCCACTCAACAACCTATGAACTAGATCAAGGTGAGAGGCGAGGTTGATTGATGGTCACCCAGTGAGTTTCATGGCTCAGTGGGGACTAGAAACCATACCTCCAAGTCCCAGGCTAACTCTCTACCACTCTACCACTCTGCTCTTGCTTGCACTACAGGATTTCTGAAGCCATATGTATGAAGTGCTTCAAATGTTCCTAAAGTGGTCTCCTAATGCTAAGTATAATGATGGTACTATAAAATATGAGAAATTGGATAACTGCTGCAATGCAGATAGTCAGGAGTAAATATTACATTTGCTGGAGATCATCAGAAAAAAAGACAGACATGCAGAAAAACAGACAGACAGACAGAAGGAGCACAGAATGATGTACATGAATCTTTCCTAGATCTTCTTTGTTGAACTAATGACTGCCCTTTCTAGTTTTCTACTCTATATGCAATTGTTTTCCAGCCATTACTTGGCAGCATTTCAGTTGACAGAATGCTGTTGCCAGGGGAGTTCTTTCTTTCTTTCTTTCTTTCTTTCTTTCTTTCTTTCTTTCTTTCTTTCTCTCTCTCTCTCTCTCTCTTTCTCTCTCTCTCTCTCTCTTTCTTTAGCAGATAGACTTGCCATTGCTATTTACCTGGCTGTGTGACCTTTGGTTGCTGAGAGTTTCACTGGTAATGTTCAAAGGCACTTTGGAGGGATTTGGATAGCGCTGAAAATGGCTCTCTGGCACAGCTAACACAAGATCAGAGATTCTATCTTTGTCACAAAGACCGGTATCAAACTACAGTGATAGCAGGTTGAGCAAGGAAAACAGAAGACTACATCACTCTTCACTGCAGAATCCTTACCACTTCTTGACTGTTTACGGAGCTTGAAACTAACAGATTACAGGCAGCAATTGGTATTTTAGGTCATGGTGGCATAATAAAGTGACATTTCAAAATTGATATCTGGAACAGGAATGAAGTCATACGGGTACAATGAATAATATTTTCTACTTACATTTAAACATTTAAAGGACATTTATTTATTTTTAAAGGCATTTTGACAAGGTTTTTCAAGTTTTATGCTACTCGCTTATCACGCATCTTACTCTCATATCATAAGTCACCCCACAAAAGTGATGGAGGTTAATGGAAAAAGTAATAAGCAAGGCAACAAATCATGTTACAAGTTTCTGAAACAGGTAATGATGAAAATGAGAATGAGTTACAGGAACTAATTATTTTGAAAAAGTAACATTCCAAACTCTGGGCAACCAATATATAAAATCTGAGGTCGCCAGCATGTTGCCCACATGTCATGTGTAGCCCCATAGCTGTTTTTCAGTACCAGTCCCCCTCACTCATTGTCAAAATCCAGTGTCAAATCACCGTGCCCTTTTAATACAAGCAAGTGTTCCCCCCCCCCCAATTTGCCAATGAAATTTGATAGCACAATTTCAAGGAGCACTGTTTGTGTGTTTGCCCCTGTGGCCATGGCTTGTCTCAGGAGGTGAAACTGATCCATGGACCAGCCAAAATTGTCTGCCCATATATTACAACATGATGAGTTGAAGCCC